TTTATTGTTTATGCTGCATACTTAATCCAATACTAATATTTAGTAGAAACAAACATTGTATTGAGCATTTTTAGGTTGTTGAAATATATATCGCTCTAAAGCGGATTAAACGCATTTGTTAGGTTGGTGATGCGGTCTCATCTTATTTAAAATTATTCAAGAAAGTGTGCATGAGAGAGAAAGAGAGAGAGAAGACAACCGATATTGACTTCAGAAAGATAAAATCTCTTTTTTTTCAATTAAAAATTCTTTTAATTTAGAAAATGTTGTGATATTTATGTGACTTGGTCTGTCCGTTAAAAAATATAATATCCAAACTTACCGATACCAAGCTGCAGTCTCCAAGATGCCGTCCGATTGATCAAACACTTGTAGGACTACTCAGCTATTCTGGAAAAATAAATTAAAATATCTATTGTAGATATATAGCATCCGATATAATACAGTAATAAATTGTGCATTTATTTCTTAGTTTTTTTTTTTTAACATCATGTTTGTTATACGTTTTTTAATAACAAACTATGAAGGAAAAAGAACAAAATGAAATTAATACTTTATGTTATTTATTAAAATACCATATGACTTCCATCAATATTAATTATTATTATAGTAACAATAATTCATAACAACACCAGTGCAATATCTAATTTATAGTCGTTATATAGACGTTGGGTTTTATTTTATTTTATTATTATTACTATTATTATTATTATTATTATTTTTACTACTACATAATATGACAAACGTAATAAATTGTTATTTAATCTATTCACGATAACGATTTACACAGTGGTCGTGTGTGCCATGTTCCCCCTTCTTCCCTCTTTAACCCCACCCACACGTTGGGAATAATTGTTATTGTTTAATATTTTTCAATACGCGATAAAAGACAGACGCTGTTGACAAATGTGCCGTTGATGCATTTGTGAATAAAAAAATAATCATAATAAAAAATAACACACGCTCGACCACACGAAATAATAATAAATAATGTAATTATTTATGTTTTTTCATAAACAATTTATTCGAAAACATTCGATCGCGTACCGAAATCGCCGAACCTATTTGTAAAACAATAATCAAAAGTAACGATCACTATATATACCGGTGGTGCGTTGTATTTTCATTAATAATTCTGTGGTTAAAAATTCGAACGCCATTGGCGAAAAAATACATATTAGGAAAAAAAACAATGAATAATATGTTTTTAGATAGGATATAATAATATATGTAGACTCGAATCGTTGACTCCAAGCCTCTCCACCGGCATATCCCACAGGTGTGTGATGTGTATATATATATTATACATGCATAGGTACGTCGATAGTTTTCGATATGTGAATAACAATCGTCAACATAATATTCTGATGAATAGGTTCGATATAAGAGTATATAAACGCATTTTAGGCAGTATTGGTAAAATGCTTATTATTATTAGTTTTATAAGTGGTACCTAACTGATGATAAAATATT